CTGGATGCTTTGCATTTGACCACATGGCTTAAGTTTGTATGGGACACTTACGAGAAGCAATACTTAGAAGATGAAACTGTAGTATTTTAAAATGGGATGTAGACATCAAAGGAAAGATGGAAGTAGCCATTCAATACTGCTGTGATTCTCAGCATCCTACACCAATAATTGTCACAGCTGAGGCTGCTGGTGATACAGTTAAACAATATCTAGACATTTGCGGATTATTATAGATTCATATTCTTTATTATTTAAAGCTGTCAATTTATTATCAGAAACAATCTATATATAATCTACATACGTATAGAGGCTCATGGTTTGGGGGCAACATCTGTTTATTAGTGCAGTGATTTTGGTATCAATAGTAATCAATAACTAGATAAATGCTTAATGGATAATTGTTTATAGCTTAAAAGCATGCATATGTGTCACGACAACGAATGGTTAAAGCAGGATTAATGTAAAATTTCACTCCCATTTCCTTATTCTTTGATCAGAACCAATACTACATCAAGCTCTTTTTTAAATGAAAGTTAAAAAGGAACTTGCCCAGAAATGGTACTTAACGTATGGTATACTTGACTGGGGTGTGTGTGTGTGTGTGAGAGAGAGAGAGAGAGAGAGAGACAGAGACAGAGAGAGAGAGAGACAGAGAGAGAGATTATGAGAAATGCAAAGTCATTGATTTCTTCCTTTATGAGTTTCAGAATTTTTATTTCATTGAATTTTGTTTTTAGAATTGAACTCTTGATAGAATAACGTTTCTAGGTCTTTGCAATATTTTGTCCTTTGCAAGGTGCTACTTCTGTTGCAAGCAGAAGCTTTTGTGTGTGTTCAGAGATGCAGTGAAAATCTAATTAGTGCAGTTGTGTTAAAAATACTTGATTTTGGATACCATGCTTAATTGTATACAGCTGTATCAGATGTCTTAAAATATTAAGAAAATTTTGCCTCCCCTTCCCAATACTCATAGTATAGAATCTTAAATGAAAACGTTTAGATGGCTGTGATGATTAAAACACTGGCTTGGTTTCACATTTTATTAGAAAAAAATATGGACTGCTTATATGATAGAAAATAGCTCTAGGTGGCTAACAATCATTTAGCAAAAGTTACTGAATAAGTCCTGTTTGGCTGGTTCACATACTGTGCTGAGTCAAATTGGGATGTTAGATACACCCAACACACTATGTACACAATAACTAAAAGAGCTACAGTGTCCTGATTTATCCATCATGATAAGTTCAAATCAAACCACTGTATTAAAGACTATAGACAAAGTTTTAGGATTGATAAGTTATCTATAACTTACTGTTAATAGCCTGTCCAACTCTTTTTACAAAATATTATTTTAATGCCACTCAGTATAACTGCCGATTTTAATATTGCTAAAATTTGGGGTTGAGCCCAAGGAGTCTTATGTGCTTACTATCCACCTCCCACTGAATAACTTTTAGTGCCTGAAAAATCTATGAATGGCACTGCATTGGTTTATTTTTGTATTAAATTTATATTCCACTTTTTAAAAAGGAACTTGGAGTCCCAGTCTAAAAAAAAGTACTTTATGCTGCTGAGTAAAGCAGGACTGCTCTTACTACAGGTAGTCCTCTACTTATGACCACAATTAAGCCCAAAATTTATGTTGCAAAGTGAGACATTTTTAAATGAATTTTATCCCATTTATGACTTTTTTGCCACAGTTGTTAAGTGAATCATTTTAAGGTAGAAATGTTGTTAAGTTCATCTGGCTTTGCTCGTCTGAAGGTTGCAAAAGGTGATCATATGACCATGGGGATGCTACAATGGTCATAAGTGAAAAATTGTCATAAGTCACTTTTTCAGTGCTGTTGTAACTTAGAACTGTCATTAAATGAACTATTCTAAGTCGAGGATTAACTGTACTCGAAAATTTATGTGGATTAAGGAGGAACTGTTTATATTTTACTGCATGCAAGAACTAGAAGACTTTTTATTGTTTCAATATTGCAGTGCAGGTAGTCCTCAACTTACAACCACAATTGAACCCAAGTAAGACAGTTGTTAAGTGACTTATGCCTTATTTTATGACCTTAATTGCCACAGTTGTTAAGTGAATCACTGCAATTGTTAAGTTAGTAACAGAGTTAAGTGAATCTGGTTTCACCAACTACAACAGTTAACTTCATTCTGCCAAAAACACAAAACAGGAAAGAAGTTACCACAATGTGCTTACATTTGATCCAGTGATTAAATGACCAGTGAAGTGCCACTGAACAGTCAGCTTTGGAGAGTCACAGATAGAATAAAAGAATAGAATATTCTTGATTGGCCAAATGTGATTGGATGCGCAAGGAATTTGTTTCTGGTGCATAAGCTGCCAGTGTACAGAAAAGCAACAAAATAATAAATCATATAGGATACAACCAACAAAGTGATAGTCTTAAGATATTAACAGGAGTAGGTAATAGGAAAGATGAGAAGGATATTCGTAATACAGCCCTACTACATGGTTAGTTATTCTTAGGCCAGGAGTGTCAAACTCAATTTCACTGAGAGCCATATCAGGGCTATGGTTGACTTCAGGGTTGGGTGGAGAGTGGGCGTGGCTGACTGGGCATGGCCAGATACCTGGGTGTGTCCAGCTTGACACCACTCCCCAAACTGCTGGCATGTTTCCTCTTTGCACTGGGTAGGCTGGGCCGAAGCAATGTGGGCCAGCCCTTTACATTTTCCAGGATGGCCCATGGGCCGGATCTGACCACATCATGGGCTGGATGCAGCCCACGGGCCTTGAGTTTGACACCCCTGCCTTAGGTAGAAAACAGTGCTGTTGGAATTAGGTGTTAGCGGAGTGATGGCATGGGGGAGGGGGAAGCTGTCTTTGTGTCTAGTTGTTTTGGCATGCAATGCCCTATAGTGGTATTCTGAGGGGGGGAAGTTGAAACCATTTATGACCAGGATGAGAGGGGTCTGTAGATATTTTCTCAGCCCACTTTTTGGCTCATGCAGTATACAAATTTGTACAGATTTATACAAAGCTAACTTAAATCTGGAGGAATTGGTTCACTTTAAAGAAAACTAGCTTTCTCCAAGCACCCTCAGATTATTACATTTCCTGAGGCTTTTGCAGGTTGGATGGGGGTGAGGGGAGCTATACTGACATTCAGTACGATAGCCACTAACCGTTCATCTTATGTCTTCCCATTATTCCTATGTGTTCATTTCTGCTTTTCTCTCTCTCCAAGAACAGTACCTCAGAAAACCTGGGTGAGAGAACCATGGTAAAGAACAACGTTCAGTGCTGTATTAGAACAAAAGAAAATAAAAGAAACTAACAACCCCCAATTCATAATGAAACAATCTGTGATACACTATGTAAAGTTAGGACCACTATTTTGCAATTAAATATTCTACCTATCATAATTCGTTAAGCGTCGCTTGTATCTCATGAAGGAGGAAGAAAAATCTTTTAAAAATCTCAGTCTGTTCCTTTTTTTTTTTTTTAGAGTCAGATGTCAAGCTGCTTCTCTCCCTGGTGTCTAAACACAATTTCATTTTAATTAAAAAGCGGGAAAGCCAATTGCTTGCCTCGTGCCCTTGGTTGATGGAAAGATAGAAGACAACTTGGGCTCTTTGTGAATAATTGAGCTTCCAGAAAACATCATGCAACATTGACTTGGAGGAGGGAAAAAAAGAATTTCTGCACATATTTTTAACCATTGGCTCTAGTGATTATCGCACTATTTTCTCCCCATAACCTCAGATGTATTTCTTCTTTTTTTTTTTTTAAACAAAAGCATTTTGGACAATCTCGGACAGCATGCACCATTTTTTCATTTTTGAGAAAGGAAGTTTAAAATAATAGTGGTCATTGCTTTTCTTGTTGTTAGAACCACAGAGAAGCTAGGCTGGGTTTGTATATTGTGGCATGTGATCATTTATTCAAGTGGAGTTTGTTAAATACACCACAATGGTTTGAGCTTACGCAAAAGAATAAGCTCAAATCAAGGAGAGTTAGAAACTAGTCTTTGCACCATTTTCTAAAAAAATAGCTTAATGTTGTCTGAGGGATGATTGATTTCTGTAGTTGAGTGCGTTTGCATTGTATATATACTAGGATTGTAGTTCTAACTTCTCTGATACTGGGAATGATTTTATTTATGTGGCACATTAGGTAGTGTTAAGCATGATTAAGACATTCTTCCTGTGAACAATTTTCATCAGTATCCCAGCAACATTTTCAGTGGCTGGTTGAGAAGCACTTCCTGAGTTTTTCGACCCAATTTGGATCAAAGGCACTGCATGTAGCCAGGGAAAGCTAATTCTTCTCCCAACCTCTTTATTTTCAAAAACACATACCTGCAGGGGGTAATAAATAAAGTGGAATTAATTATTAGTCTGAATTTGATTTGGATAATGACATCTTTTCAAAAAATGAAGTCCGGATAGTTTAAGTATTACAAGAAGCAAAAGCATAATAAGGCTTTGCATTTTGTGTAAACACAATTGGTTTTGAAATGTGGTCCAGTTAGCTATTAATGTAAGATTTCATTGTGCATTTGTGTGAATGTTTCACAGCCACAGTATTTTAAAACAGTATGTGTTAAAATGTATTCATAATTGTGGATAAATAACGTTACAGTGCCTGCTGTTTCTAAGTAGATGCTTGTTTATTGTATAGATCTAGTGCAGAATATCAAAATCTTGTTATTATTAATAGCAATTTTTATTTATTAATCTTATTTATCTTTTAATCACTAATAAAGAACTCTAATTTTAAAATTACACCTAGAATCTTAATACTGTTGTTGAATATTATGATTGGGATATAATTCACAGTATCTTTGTATTTTTAAAGTACTATGTTTATTTTACTACAGTTATGGCTTTTATTAGTAAAGAAGTCTAAATTTTGAGTTCTATCTATAGCTCATGAATAGAATAGTAAGTGATAAGAGAATCACAATCCAGCATTTGGTTTATGCTGTTGGTTAATAGTAACAACAAATGCAGTCTAGCTCTCTATAAATACTCCCTGTTTCTGTAACATTTACTGTATAAGCTGTTGTCATGTTCTGGCTAGTTATCCTAATGTACCAAAGATTATGTTAAGTGCTTATATGAACCTTTGATTTTGGGAACAATGCAGTATGATGCATCCAGGTTTTTTTTTTTTTTTTTGCACATACAAATATATTAGATATACCAGGCAGCAGTCCCTACAATTTTTGACAGTTGGCTTGCCTGGCTAGGCATGATAGGAATTGTAGTTCAGAAACACTAAAGAACCCTTAATCCAAGAATTAAGAGGTTCATCTGCATATTCCTTCTGTATCCTGGGAAGACAGTAGAAAGATCTGCTAATGGCAAAGGAATTGGACTTCATCTCACCAGCTCAAGCCAACAGCACACATGCCTCTGATGGCACACGAAACTTAACAAATGCGCTTGCATTTATTCTTTGGGTTGTTTTTTTTTTTTTGCTCCAGCTAATATAGGAGAGATCATGGCCAGAGATGGAATTCTGGTGCTCAACTGCAACATATGTGTGCAAGATCTGCCTTTTTTCCCTGGAGGCAAAACTGATTTCATTTGTATAAAATGTGTGTGGAAATTTTGAAAGCAGAGATTGGAGAACCGGAGGTCAGAGTGTTACGCCTATATCTCTAGTTCCTCAAGATGAAGACTTCCTAAACAGTAGTGTGGATACCATTACTCAACACGAACAGGAGAAAAATGTAAAGTTTACCACTTTGCCCAAGTGTGGGAATAAAGAAGCAGGCAACAGGTTGCAATCAGAAGCAAAATGATTACAAAGCAGACTATTGTCCTAGATCTTGGCGACCTCTAGCCTCAGAGGAAGCATCCACAGACATGATTGATGCAAAAAGCTCTCATAGTTAAACTTGTCACCTGATCCAAGTGGAAGTGATCTATCTATCACTAAGAAGAAAAAAAACACAGTGATTATAAGTAGGACATTTGTGAGAGGTACAGTAGTTTCCATTTATTATTCATATTGTTCATCCTCACATATATACCAAGTCTGAGATATGGTAGGAGGACTGATAAAACTTGTTGGATCTACTGATCAGAGACTTGTCCCACTAATCTTGCAGGCATAAATGACTTCCAGTAGATAATAGAGTTACCACATGGCGTTGGGAAAGGGGGTGATGGATTTGGGGACCTAGGTGGAGAAATACACTTCCCATTGAAGGCAAAACAAAGGAGAAACATTAAGTGAACTCCTAGGCTCAGTGTTAGTGCAATCAAGAGGCTTAAGGTTCAAAGGAAGGAAAAAAACTGATTTGCATTATGGTATTTTACTAAGGAGGGAAAGTATATTTCTGGATGATGCCTAGTTAACCGCCTCATAAGGGCTTTAAACTAGAATGCAAAGGAATGGGACCAATGAATGGTAAAGTAGTGGAGAAGCAAAACAAATTGCTAGATAGAATCAAATGAGATGATGGCAAAGAGAGATTGTTGGACTTTCTGGATGTAGAAAGTTCAACCCAATTTCTTAAACATCCGTGCACTAATGCACGAAGTATGGTTGACAGATACCTTGTTTGTCTCTGCTCCAATGCTTTGCCCATTAGTGCAGAGGATTTAAGTTCGATGTCATTAGGCACTGAAAATGGTGGGATGAATCTACCAGTGTCACATTGGGCTTGATGGCTACAGTTGGTTTTAGAGGAACAGACAACACAAAAAAGAAGGTGGAGCACCATTCTGTGTATTAATGATCTTCCACGGGGCTGATGGTAATAATATGATTGTTGAAAAGCTCAAGATAAAAGGGCAAGCTAGTAGAAGGGACATTTTGCTAGGAACATGCTTTAGATCACCAAAACAGTCCAAAGAAATGGATGAAGGTTTATTAAAGCAGATTGACCAAAACTTCAAAAGAAGTCATTTAAGTGGCTGTGATGGGAGATTTTAGCAATCCGTTTTGCATTCTGCCAAATACAAAATGTCATATAGATTCTTAACTAGTGTTGGTGATAATTTTCTCTCTTAAAAAGTTGAGCTGGCCACTGGTTGATCTACCTTGGATATGGTCCTAATTGGCAGGCAGGAACTGAATACATTGAATTGATGAGAAGTGTATGGTGATCACACGTGCTTTTGATTTTAGCAAAAAAAAAATTGTTCAAAATTACAAGTTTTGTAGCAAGGTTGATTTTATAAATGAAAAGAAATAGGATGGAACATGTCATGGGAAGAAAATCTGAAATGCAAAAAATACCACCACTGTCTGGGTTTCTTTTAAAATAAATTAAGGATACAGTCGTCTCAAACAAGGAAAGGCGGTAGGAGGTACAGTATCTAAAGGAGCCAATGTGTTTGAATAGGCAGTTTGTGAGAGAAGGGCGCTTCTTTAGAAGGAAGAACTAAAAACTCAAGCAATTGTGCAAAGCTTTGGCTCAGAAATTCAGGAAGTACACAAAGGCAAAGGTGGAAAATTAGCTAAACTTGGCAAGAGAGATGAAATCCAATAAGAAGGCTTTTCTGAAATACATTCATAGCAAAAAAAGGCAAAAGAAGTGTGTTCTCCAAGTGAATTCTTAATGGTGTGTGTGTGTGTGTGGGGAGGGAAAAGGCAAATTTTGCTTCAGTCTTTATATCTAAAAAAGTTATTTTACTAGCATATATTGGGAAGGAACAGGGTGCAGGATGGTAGGGATGAAATAAAGAAGCATTTGGCTAATTTGAACACCTTCAAGGTCCTAGGATGAAACATACCCAAGAATACTGCTGAGGAACTATTGTCTGATAGGTGGCAAGATACCAAATGACTGAGGAAGAAAAAAAATGTATTTCCCCTCTTCAAGAGAAACAGGATCCCAGTAATTATTGAACAGTGAACTGGACATTAATCTCTGGAGGGATGATGGAACAAGCAGCCCGTTGGTAAGCTTGAAGATTGCGGTGATTGCCAAGAGTCACCACAGCTTTGTCAAAAACAGGTAATCCCAGACAAATCTCATCTTCTTTGACAAAATGCCCTAATAGACAGCTGAAAGAACTTGGGATATTCAGTATGGAGAAAAGAAGAAACAAGAACCAAAAATAATGGGCATAAATTGCAACGACCTAGAAGTTCATTTAAATATAGCAAAAACCCCTACTGGAAAATCTGTATGACAGTGGACCAACCTATCCTGTTGCTGCACTTGCCCTCTGGAATGATGTGTCCTGACCCTCTGTTCCGCACCCCACCCCCTTCCCCAAGATCCATGTAGCTTGTATAAGAAATTTTTATGGCTGTTTTTTTCAGCCGTATTGACAAGCTTGTAGAAAGCCCTTCCTTGGAGTTGGTTTATGGTTTATTGATGGATTGTGTCTGTGATTAATTGATGAAACTATGTGGTCAGTAGGAGCTTGATGACACATAAGTGTGTGTCTGTGTGAGTGAGTGTGTGTTTAAAAGTTGTAGGCTGCCCAGAAATGTTAATGAATTGGGTGGCTTCAGGTTTAATAAAATAAAGATCTGCCTATGGAGGTTGTGGATTCAGTTCTCCATTTATTGAGGACTTCTTTAAAAGAAGACTAAGGAAACTTCATTTCTGAATTCACCACATAAGTTTTTAAAAAAAAAAATATTTTGGGGTCTCTTGCTTGTTTTTACCACATGTTTTAAATTCTGTTTATACACAGTCTTAAAAATAAACCAGTAAATGAGTAGTTTTCCTGTACGTTGCTGAACTAGATGATCCTTCCAGTTCTACCATTCTGTTATCTGTTAAGTGTCTATACAGTGTCTTTATCAGTTTCAAACTAGTATAGCTGGGCACCTGCATTTAATCCCGTCTTAGTAGAGCAGAGCATTCTGTTCCATCTGATCTGTTGTGGTCTGAATTGTAGATCAGATTGAGAAATGGAAAAATCATAAGGAGCAGATCATGGCAAACGAAGTCTATATTCATGAAGTCATCAGGAGCTGATCATGTCTTTTCTGTTGTCTTCGCTTAAATTCTGTTTTCAGTGGGGGTTACGCTCTGGGAAATTAGTATGTGCTTCCAGGCATAGGCCTATTAGATTGATCAAATTGCAATACTTCAAAATATTTTTGATGTTTTAAACTGATGCAAGCAGCCATTTTTGGAATGGCTGAGATTTTAAAAATGTTTAGAATAGAATAGAATAGAATAACAGAGTCGGAAGGGACCTTGGAGGTCTTCTAGTCCACCCCCCTGCTTAGGCAGGATACCCTTACACCACTTCAGACAAATGGTTGTCCAATCTCTTATTAAAAACTTTCAGTGTTGGGGCATTCATAACTTCTGGAGTCAAGTTGTTCCAGTGATTAATTGTTCTAACTGTCAAGAAATTCCTCCTTAGTTCTGAGTTGCTTCTCTCCTTGATTAGTTTCCACCCGTTCGCTCTTTTAGCATAAGAATTTATAAAAACCAGGTGATAGGCGTCATTTTAGAAGCATTATCTCCTCTCTTCCTTCATACTAGATCCTGAAAAGATTGTACTGCAATAACTTTATGTAATCTTATTTTAGGAAGGATATTTTAAAATTTCTGTGGTTCTTCATAAAGACCTTTAATGCTTTTCCATAAAACTTACCGAAGAGGTTGTGTAATCACGACAGTTTCCTCAAAGGAAGAATAACTGCTGAAAAACAATGGCTTACCAGGGTGTAGCTGCTGATGGTTGGATTTGATAAGCATGCGTTCCATAGTCAATATTTTCTAAATGGCAGGCCTGCTCTTGTATCTCAACACATAGCCTGCTCTACCTATTTGGAAAATAGCATTTGCATAAGCCTTCTTGAAATCAATATATGACTAGCACCTATCTGATAGACTGAAAAAATCAGTTCAAATGATTTTTGTAAAAGGGTGTTTATGCTCTCTTTTTTCTGCCATCAGATTTTTATAGAAGAAAAAAAGAAAAGGCACTCTTGAGTGGAGCTTGATACCAAGTGACCTCATGGGCATGTCTATGTCATTTTCCTGGCAATAATACAGATGTGGTTTGCTATTGGTTTCTTCCAGGAGAGTTTTTCAGTTTCAGAGGCTGTTTCCTATTATTTTCCCACCAAAATGGCCTTCCAAAAATTCCTAAATAGATTTTTTTTTGCGCATGAATAGGACTGGGGCTGTAAGGTAAAATATAATGCGCAATGCATTGAGAAGATGCTATAGCTGAATGCCATGCAGAAGATTCCTGGAAAAATCCAATTAAAAAAGTCAGGGAGAAGGTAATTTGAAAAGTCTTTAGGACAGCTACCGCAACTGAGACTAGCAGTGATAGGACTGGGCTAGTTCGATTTTCATCAACCTCATGCCCCTTGAGATGTATTGGGATAATTTTTGGAATTTTTTTAGAGGCCCATGCAAGCCAAGGAATGTTGAAGTTCCAATACATTTGGAAGCTTATCAGATTGGGGAGAGCTGAGGTAGATGGACAAGTAGTCTGACCTGCTTGACAACTGCTTTTTATAATCAGAGTTTGTTGAAATGATGCAGCCGCCTTCAGCTTGGTATTCATCACTGTATCATTATGAAAACAGAAATAATGATTCCTTCCGTCCCATTAAGAGAAATAAGAAAGTGCCAATAATGTAAAACTTTCCATCTGTATTTGAATAATAGCAAGATATTTGAATTACAAATAATTTAAAGGCAGTGAACATACCCAACATATCTTTTCCTATTTTTCCCCACAACAACCACCCTGTGAGGTGAGTTGGACTAAGAGAGAGTGACTGGCCTCCTCAAGGTCAACCAGCTGGCTTTCATGGCTAAGGCAAGACCTGAATATACAGGTGGTCCTCGACTTACAACAGTTCATTTAATGACTGTTCAAAGTTACAGCATCACTGAAAAAAGTGACTTAATGGCCATTTTTCACACTTACGACCATTGCAGTATCCCCATAGTCATGACACTGACTCACATTTATGATGGTTGCGGCATCCTGAGTCATATGACCCCTTTTGCAACTTTCTGACAAGCAAAAATCAAGGGGGAAGACAGATTCAGTTTACAACCATGTTACTAATTTAACAGTGCAGTGAATCCCTTAAGAATTGTAGCAAGAAAGGTCATAAAATGGGGCAAAACTCACCTAACAAATATCTCACTTAGCAACATAAATTTGGGGCTCAGTTGTGGTCATAAGTCGAGAACTACCTGCAATGGGCAAAGTTGCATAATATCACTGCTGCTACCGTGCTAAGCTTAGAAGATTAGGATGAGAAAATAAGGTCTTTTTAGAGCAGGGGTGTCAAACTCAAGGCCCGTGGGCCGGATCCAGCCTGTGGGGTGTTTAGATCTGGGGCCACCCTGAAAACAGTGAAGGACCGGCCCAAGGTGCTTCTGCCAGTGAAAATGGAGCTTGGGAGGGCAGAGGGCTTCAGGAGGCTGTAGTGGCTGAAAACGGGCAACGAGCTGGCGACACCCACCCTGGCCCCCTGATGCAGCCCTCAGTGAAATTGAGTTTGACATCCCTGGCATTTCCTGGCATTAGGGCATTTCCTGCAGCACCCAGTTTACCTCGGGCTTTAGGGTTAGGTAATATTATACATAGGGAATTATATCTTTGACTTTGTATGGATAGATGTAGGACGTTCCCACAACTACTCTTTGAGGAAGGAAGAGAATACCTACAAGCTTGCTGCTGGGTGACATACGTGGGTGCAGTAATAGGATATGCCTCATTTGCTGAGACAAAGACTCCCAATTATTTTCTGTGAATTGGGGCATACATGTTCTTTTGGTATTCCCAGATCTAAAAAGCAGAGCCAAAGCCCTTATATCTCATCAGCATCTTCAGGCACGTTCTTATAAGAGCAGTACAATCTGAGGGTTTTTTTTTTTTGAATTAATGATATTGAATTGCTGTGGATACCCTTACGGCTAAAATACAACAATGCTAATACCATAAGTAAACGGGCTGTGATGGGAGTTATTATTTTTGAGACTCGGGCTTTCGACTATTTGTGTTTTTGCACTGCAATAATACTGTGATTGCCGGTGTTTGAGCTAGTCTTTACTCATAATCAAACAGTTCTTCAAAGGACTCTGGGATGGAATCGTATTTCTTTTTAGTCAGCAAAGCTAAATATTCTATCCAAAGTTCCTTACCTAATGTGGCTGTCCCTTCATGAACCTTTTAAACTCACTCTCATACGCATCACGCAGACTCCTTCAAGTTTCTTATTTCAAGTTTAGAGGAACGTTCTCTAATCTGGCAAACTTTTCCATTTTTTTTTCTTGTTTTAGAACTAAATCATGGCTTTTCGGAAGGTGGTGAAAGGAACTATCCTCATAGGAGGAGGGGCCGTTGCAACTGTCTTTGCCCTCTCACAACTTTCTCAATATAGAAAAAAA